GGTCAGGAGTTCAAGACCAGCCTGACCAACATGGTGAAATCCCATCTCTATTAAAAATACAAAATTAGCCAGGTGTGGTGGCAGATGCCTGTTACCCCAGCTACTGGGGCTGGCCACACTCCCAATTTGAGCCTGTTGAGGAGTCCCAGGGTGGTTACGGCCTGGGGATGTGTTAGCCAGATGGCCCTGGGAGGTCTCGGGTTGGCTTATCGTAGGAGGCAGAGAAGGTGGGCAGCCCTCAGCAACCCCCCCACCAACATTCTCCCCATCATGCATCATTAGGCTGGAGCTGGAGCCAGATGGTGGGGATGGGGGAGCTTGCAGCTTCTGCCCTGACAAAGGACCCTCTATTCTGCACCCCCACCCTGACCCTGACCAGTCTGGCTAGTCTGGTCTCTGGCTGCCCAGTCGCTCTCAGCCCTGGTCTGTCCTGCCCCGGGGTGCCTTTCTGCGGAGAACTTCTCTTCCCCATCCTGTTTGTGGAGGAAGTCTGCAGTGTTCCCTTGGACTTGGAAAATCACTTACCATCAGATTGAGAAGGCAAGCGTGGCCCTGTGGTTATAACAGGTCACAGATTCAAATTCAGTAATAGGATTATGTGAAATGGGCCAGGTGGCAAACTGGTGCCTGGCTCTCAGTGAGCCCTTATTAACAGTCTCTGTGACTGCAATGAATGGGGAAACTGAGGCCTAGAGGGGGCGGTGTTTGCAGAAAAGCCTCGTGGTCAGGAGGTTAGGCTTGGGAGTCAGGCCTGCCTGTGTTAATGCAGATCTGCTACTGAGAGTGAGTCCTTGGGCAGATCACCTAAGCTCTCGGTTTCCCCGGCTGAAATGCAGCCCCTGAGGCCTCATCATAGAGAACAGTTGTGAGGATGAGGAAGGATAATGCAGCGAAGGCAGCTGGTACTTAGTAAGGACTCAGCCCGTGCGTCCTGAACCTCATCATCCTCGATTCCTTCCTTCCTTCTCTTTCACCATTTCTCAGAAGTGGGTGTTTCGAGGATTTTCCCTGACTTGGGAAGAATGCGCGAGAGCCCAGGCTGGCTGGGGAGGCAGGCAGGCCAGGACCAGCCACAGGGCTGCAGCCGGCCAGCACTCACACAGGGCTGCCTCCAGGAACCCTCCCCACACACAGGGCCTGGGCACCTTTCCGCTGGCTCCTTGCTGCTGAGCGAAGTCTATTAATATCAAAGTAATGAGGTAATTACTATGATTTAGAAAAATTACTAGTGACGGCTTTTGAGGGAATTTCAGAGCAGATAAGAGGGTAAGTGAAGCATCTGTGAGGAAAGGGATGCAGGGCTGTCAGGGATGAATCCTCAGGGTGGGTGAGCTCTGGCCTGCCTGGGGCAGAGTGTGGGTGCTTGGAGGGGACCATGACAGTGTCATGTGTGTGCATGGGACTTTTGGAGTGAATAATTGGGGAGGGGCATGTGTGGGGTGTGTGTGTGCATGTGTGTGTAACCAGGGGGCAGGATTTTCAGGACCTAGGAGCACCTTGACTTTGGCTGGTGCAAAACAGCAGATTCCAGGCTGAAGACACACCCTGGAGCCAGAGGCCAGCCCCGCTGCACAATCCCAGCCTCTGACTGTCCTTGACTGATCTCCACCCACAGAATCCTCCCAGCCCTGAGGCCACCAGCCTCGAGAAGGGTTAGATGAGGAAAGACCTCTCTGTGTGAGGGAAACTGGGAAGAGCTCAGAAGCAGAGGTTGTCAAGGTGTGACTCTCGGACTGGCAGCGTGGTCATGTTGGATACAATGAGTTCTGAATTTCTCTTCAAGGAATCAGGATGTCAGTATGTTCAGTTCTTTGTCCTTCATTTGAAAGTTTGACTTCCTTGTAGTTTGAGTAAGCAACCATTTCCACCAGTTCTAATCACATCTGTTCCCCTGGTCCCCTGCTCCGTCCTAACTCATCCCGGTCACCTGCTTTGACCTGAGTCACCCCTGCTTACCTTCTCTGACCTGTCCTGTAACCATCCTTCCTGCCAAACTACACACCCTGCCACTCAGGCTTGTACCCCTGCTCTCTTTAAAATAGCCAGTCAGAATTAGCCTAGACTGTGCAGTCTAAGCGTAGCCGACAGGGGACCGACACAGCAGTAGAGGCGACCTCCATCAGGAATCAGAACCCTTTCCCCTTCCTTGTCCAACTGTGTGCTTGCCATTGTTCCATCTGTGAGCTGTATCCTTCTATAGAAGTAAATTGCCTTGCTGAGGAAATTTATATTCAAGAGCTACTTCTTTTGCAGCTCTGAAAATTTATGTGTAACAATCATCGCCTGGGAACTTGCTAACAATGCACATTCTCAGGCTGCTGCAGAGCCACTGAATCAGTAACTCTGGGGGGAGGACTGGAGATCTGCTGTCATCATCGTTGTTTTTGAGACAGTCTCACACCATTGTCCAGGCTGGAGTGCAATGGCGTGATCTCTGCTCACTGCAACCTCTGCCTACCAGGTTCAAGCCACTCTCCTGCCTCAGCCTCCTGAGTAGCTGGGATGACAGGCTCAGGCCACTACATCCAACCTGAGAATCTGTTTTCAGGAGCCCCTAATAGAGGCATGAAATGATAGGAAAGTCCAGGCCTGGGAAATGGAGGCTGAAGGCAGCTTTGAGAGGCTTTTAGGAGGTTGAATCTGTAGGAATTGGTACCAGGGCGGGTGTGGAAGACAGTATGTCCCCAGCAGTTGTAGTAACAGTTACAGTAATAATACTTGAACGTGTATTGTGCACTTTCTGTGCTCTTGTTTCATCCTCACAACAAGCCTAAAAGGCAGCTACGATGCTGATCCCAATTCTTCACATAGGAAACTGAGGAACAGAGAGGCTAATGGCCAAGGACATACAGCTGGCAGCTGGTGGAGCTGGGATGCAGTTTCAGTCTTCAGATGCTGGGTTTTCGCCTCTTCTCGGACACCAGGCTGCTTTGGTGATCTGAAGAGGGTGGTTGGTGACGGGAATGAGCAGTGAGGACTGCCAGGGAAGGAACTTCCAGGGAGGCTAACACTGTTTTATTTTTTAATTTACTGAGCACTTACTATGTGCTAGGCGTGATGCAAAGCGTTTGCTGGTGCATGCACTGTCACATTTATTTATTTTATTATTATTATTTTTTTTGAGATGGAGTCTCACTCTGTCGCCCAGGCTGGAGTACAGTGGCATGATCTCTGCTCACTGCAACCTCTGCCTCCTGGGTTCAGGTGATTTTCCTGCCTCAGCCTCCTGAGAAGCTGGGATCATAGGCATCCACCACCATACCCAGTTAATTTTATATTTCTAATAGAGACGGGTTTTGCCATGTTGGCCAGGCTGTCTCGAACTCCTGACCTCAGGTGATCTGCCTGCTTTGGCTTCTCAAAGTGCTGGAACTACAGGAATTTGGAATTTGTTGGGCTTCCTGATTCTGAACATGTGTGTCTTTCTTCTGTTCTGTTTACTGAAAGTGGCAGGTAAGGCTGTCTTCTTTTTATTTTTTAATTTTATCTTATTTTATTATTGTAATTATTTATTTATTCTTATATATTTTTTGAGATGGAGTCTTTCTCTGTCACCCAGGCTGGAGTGCAGTAGCTCAATCTCGGCTCAAACCAGGTTCAAGCAATTCCCTGCCTGAGTCTCCAGGTAGCTGGGACTACAGGTGCGTGCCACCATGCCTGGATAATTTTTTTTTTTTTTTAAAGTAGAGACAGGTTTTCACCGTGTTGGCCAGGATAGTCTCAAACTCCTGACCTTGTGATCTGCCTGCCTTGGCCTCCCAAAGTGTTGGGATTACAGGCGTGAGCCACTGCAACCAGCCAACTTTTTAAATTTTTAGTAGAGATGAGGTCTCCCTAGTTGCCAGGCTGATCTTGAACTGCTGGGTTCAAGAAATCTTACTTCATCCTTCCAAAATGTTGGGGTTATAGGCATGAGCCATGGCACCCCCTGATGGTCAGTTTACCGTGGTGTTCATAGCCCTCTGCAGGCGTCTCCAGGGCCATTATCTCAGCTGCCTTTTGGCTTCTCTTTCTTGTCAGGTCTTGGGGGTGTCTGACCACAGCAGGTGTTATGACATCACCTCTGTCCACTGTACACTCTGAGGGGTGAGCAGCTTCACTGTAGGCTGAGTCACTTGTCATAAGTGACTCTATTTTGATATGTTTAGAATCACAAAACATTATTATCTATCACATAGGGAGTGGCAAGGCATTTTGGGAGAGTGGCTTTTTTTTTTTTTTTTTTGAGATGGAGTCTCTTGCTCTCTCTCCCAGGCTGGAGTGCAGTGGTGTGATCTCTGTTCACCACAACTTCCACCTCCCAGGTTCAAGTGATTCTCCTGCCTCAGCCTCCCCAGTAGCTGGGATTACAGGTGCACCATCACGCCCAGCTAATTTTTATATTTTTAGTAGAGATGGTTTCACCATGTTGGTCAGGCTGGTCTCGAACTCGTGACTTTGTGATCTGCCTGCCTTGGCGTCTCAAAGTGCTAGGATTATAGGTGTAAGCCATTGTGCCCGGCCGGAATTGTGGCTTTTTTTTTTCTGAATGAGGCAATTTATTAACCCAGCATGGTTTGTTTAAATGCTTCTTGTTGGCAGCTGCCACTTGTCCAGCGATTCTGTCCAGATCTCTCTGTTCCTGAGGTGTCAGTTTGCCAGCCCCATCTTGGTCCTTTTCTGCCATTTTCAGCACCTCCAGGGCTGGGAGTACCAGGCAGGCCACACTCTTAGAGCCTCGGCTGAAGGGGCTGGGCATGACGCCGTTTCTCTGACGTCCCCCGTAGATCTTGGTCATGGAGCCAACCCCAGTGCCACCCCGGAGGTACAGGTGCCGCACCATGGAAGCAGCTCACGTGTAGAACCAGTTTTCATCGTAGGAAGCAAGCTCTTTGTGCTTGGCCAGCTTGACAGTGTCCACCCATTCAGGGACTTTCAGCTTCCTGGACTTTTCAAGAAAGGCTGCCAAAGCTCTGACAAACTCCTGCTGGTTCACATCTGTCACAGTAACTTCAGGCATCGTGCAGCCTCCTCCCTACCAGCCAGGGAAGAGGGCAAAATTGTGGCTCTTAATCCAGATAGGCAGGCCCTAGTGTTGGTGGGGATCCCCACTTGCTGGTCCTGAAGTCCTAAACTCGAGCAATCCTCCCACATTGGCCTCCCAAAGTGCTGAGATTATGGGGGTGAGCCACTGTGCCTGGCCCCTTTCTTTCTTTTGTTTCTTACTCCTTCCTTCTCTCTTTCACCGTTTCTCAGAAGTGGGTGGTTCAAGGATTTTCCCTGACTAGGGGAAGAGCACACAAGAGCCCAGGCAGGCTGGGGAGGCAGGGCGAGCCATAGAGCTGCAGCCCGACCAGCACTCACGCACGGCTGCCTCCAGGAATCATGTGGCATGTTACAATTGAATGCCTTTCTATTGCTGAGTAGTCTTCTATATTCTGTGCTGTTTATCCACTCATCAAAGCTCAGACACGTTTGGGTTTCTTCCAGTATTTGGTTTTTGAGAATCATGCCGCTGCCGGGTGTGGTGGCTCATGCCTGTAATCCCAGAACTTTGGGAGGCTAAAATGGGATGATCATTTGAGGCCAGGAGTTTGAGACCAGTTTGGGCTACATAGCAAGACCTTGTCCCTAAAAATAAAATAAAATAAAATAAAATAAAATAACAAATAATGCTGCTATAAATTTTTTGTACATATTTGTACAGACATGTGTTTTTATTTCTCTTGGAGAAATACTTAGGGGTGAATTTGTTGGGTCAAATAGTAAGTGTATGTTAAATCTTACAACATTCTGGCTTCCTAGTTCCAGAGCAGCTGCATTTTTCATTTCCACCAGCAGTGAATGAAAGTGACACTCACATCTTCACCAACACTTAGTATTGCCAGTCTTTTTACATTTAGCCATTTTAGTAGGCACAATGCTATCCCATTGTGGTTTTCATTTGCATTGTCTGATGGCTAGTGATTTAGAGCAGTAAGCCCCAAGCTTTTTTGGCATCAGAGACTGGCTTCCTGGAAGACAATTTTCCCACAGAGAATTGGTGATGAAGGCTGAGGGATGCTTTCAGGATCAGGGATTTGATTTTCATAAGGAGCACACAACCAAGATCCCTCGACTGTGCAGTTTACAATAGGGTTTGAGCTCCTCTGAGAATCGAATGCCGCTGCTTATCTGACGGGAGGCAGGGGTCAGGTGGCGATGCTTGCTTGTGGTCTGCTCACCTCCTTTTGTGCTGCCCAGTTCCTAACAGGGCTGGAGACTCCTGATGTAGAGCATTTTTCATCTATCTCTTGGCCATTCATATATTTTTTTGGTAAAGTGTGTACAAATCTTTGAACACTTTTGAGCTTTGGGTTCTTTTTATCCTCATTAAGATGTCTGTGTGTTTACACACTTCCTTTTATATTCTGAATGCAAACCCTTTGCTGAATATATGTTCTGCAGAATTTTCTTCCAGTCTGTGAACTGCCTTGCAATTTATTTCTATTTTTCGAAGGCAGAAGCTTTTTGCCAGCCTTTCCTGGGGTGTGCTATTGTGGGTGCACTTTTCCCGCTGGAGCCCCGGCTGCTGCAGGTTCCATGGAGACTCCACTTCAGTGGGAACAGCAGAAGTTTCCTCCTTTGTTGCAGAAATTATCCACAAAGTGACACTGAGCATGCTCTGCTTCCAAAATGCCACACCACACACCCAGCTCTCTCTGCCAGCTGTCCTGGCCTCCACCAACCCCCCCCTCAGCGTCCCTGTGGGAGTTTCACGCAGAGAGCTTGCATTCACCAAGCAGGAGGGGGATGCGAGGGGGTCACTACATGGATTTGACAATGAAGATCAAAGTGCTTCACTCAGATTCAAGGATATCAAAGAAAGGCCTAACTACCTGAGATCTCGCTTCAAATCATTGTGGATGGTCACATTTCACTGAGGTTGGGAACACAAACAATCATCTACTGGAGTGTTTGCTCTAATTTAGCTAAAAACATTTCCATCAAGGACAGATGTACCACAAAGTTACTGAGGCTTGAGCTTTGGGGGCCCGCCCTAAGGTCCTGAGGAGCACCCTGCAATGTGTTTGTGTTCATTCTAAGCAAATATAAATGCTCACTCCTTATTTTCATTTGTAGTGTTATATGCTTATTTTAATAAAGACTCTCCCTCTCATGATATAGTTAAGCTCCACAGGAATGAAGGGGCAAGACGACTAATCTTATTTGAATGTAAGAGCTTAGTTGTAAAGACATCTTCCTCTGAATTATGAGAGAGGAACTGTGTGTGTCCAGGTGTGTGTATCAGGGTGTTGTGTGTGTAAGGGAGTGGATGTGAATGTGTGTAAGGACAGGTGAATGTATGTGTGAGAGTAGGTGCCTGTGTGTGTGTGTGTGCGAGGCAGGTGTGTGTGTAAGGTAGGTGTGTGTGTGAGAGGTAGGTGCATTTGAGTAAGGCAGTGCGTGCTTGTGTTTAAGGCAGGTGTTTGCGTGAGTGTGTAATGTAGAAGCCTGCATTTGTGTGTGCCCTGATAGACCACGGGGTAGAAGAGGAAGAATAACCATAGGGCTGATGAAATCTCTCAGGAAACAGGCTGTGATTTATTTGTCTGTCTTCTCTCTGTTTGATTAAAAAGTGCCATCAAACCAAAACTATGTTGTTTTTAAAACCCAGAGTTCCAGGAACAAAAAATTGGCGCTGGGGTCTAAATCAAGAAAAGCTGACACCACATTTTCGAGATCAGCAGAAGGCAGTCATAGATCTGGCTCCTGACTGGGTATTGGGACTGGCGGCGGGGAGCACCCACCTTCTTCTTGGTGAACCCAGAAAGAGGCTTCATTGAGTGCAGCTGAGAAAGCCACTGCCAGAGCCCAGTAGCAGTAGACAGCAGGAAAAAATGAGTAATCTTAGAAGCAGGTGGATAACCGGGCACGGTGGCTCACACATATAATCCCAACACTTTGGGAGGCCGAGGCAGGCAGATCACTTGAGTTCAAGACAAGCCTGGCCAACATAGTGAAACCCCATCTATACTAAAAATACAAAAATTAGCTGAGCATAATGGTGGACGCCTGTATCCCAATTATTCAGGAAGCTGAGGGAGGAGAATTGCTTGAACCTGGGAGGCAGAGGTTGCAATGAGCTGAGATCATGCCATTGTACTCCAGCCTGGGCAACAAGAGTGAAACTCCATTTCAAAAAAAAATAGATGAATGTGATCCTTTCCCCCCCCCCAAAATACATTTTCTCTGCTATGAAATAACTATGCCCCTGCTGAATACTTCTGTGAGTGGCTGCATGTGTGTCTGTATGTTGTGGAGAATAATTACCTACAGATCACAGATACAGATCTCAGAGGTTACCTGTGTATGCATTCCTCTAATTCCTTCATCTCGTAAGAACCTGAATTTTAATCTTGGAGACAAGTACTTTCCCTTATCTTTTGCAACAGAGATTGGAAATCGCAGGCCTGAGCTGTTACACCCTAATGTTTATTGAATGAACTTTGGGGAATATCTTCTGCTGATCTTCTGAACGGGAATATTTCTGGCAGGTCTAACACCTGCCAGCTATTTTGCAAGATGCTTTCTTTATAGGCTTCGTCTCTTAGTCCTCAAAATGACCCCATAAGCACATCATTCTCGCCTCATTTATTAGGAAGCTGGGGCTCTGAGTCCCACTGAGAGACAGTGTCTGGGCTTAGGCAGCAGGGACACAGGGAAAGGGGAGAGTCTGCATGCCCAGCTCAGGAGATACAAAGCTGGGAGTCCCAGTGGGAAGGAGAGGGCACTGGGGTGAGATGATGCCGGAGCAGCTCAGGATGGGCCTCATTCTGAAGGCCAAGGCCACAGCTCCACTGAACCCGACCCATTTTCATTGTTAGTTTCCTCAGCCCCTAAAAACTCGGGGAGACAGGGTCCCCTGACAGAACCAAGTTCAAGTTCCCAGACCTCTAAGCATTCATTCACCCTGATCCAGAGCCTTCACACATCCGGGGAGAGTCATCTTTCTACACATAGTGGACTAAAGGCTGTAGGGAAACTAGGAAGTGCTGGGGGCATCATTCCCTGTGCACACTGTGCCGTGTGAGCTCTCCACGGTGGCTCTGTGTGGCACTCATGCAGACCCCACACTCCTGCTCATGCTGCTTGCCTGGCCAAGAGCAGTCCTCCAGCTCCACCTGAGTTCAACAAACCCCCATGTGACACCTCCCTGCCTCATCCTTCTCTTCCACAGCCTCCTGTTTATTCCCAGGAGATGCCGTCTCCTCTGTCTGCATGTGGGGCCCTTCGCCCTGCGCTTCTATTAGGGGTGGTCAGAAGCTCAAGGCCTCTCAGTGGGAATCTCTTTGCTGCAGGACCCAGGACACTGCGAGTCAGGGACGGGGCTCATCCCTCACAGAGCAGGCCACATGGCCCAGGTGCCATACACGCCTGCAAAAGTGCTATTTCTGGCTTCTATACACAATTTCTGGCTGGGCACAGTGGCTCATGCCTCTGATCTCAGCACTTTAAGCGGGGGGCAAAGTGAGCAAATGCCATGATACCAGGAGTTTGAGACCAGCCTGAGCAACATAATGAAATACGGTCTTTAAAAAAATGTTAAGAAAATAGCCAAGCATGGTGGTTCATGCCTGTAGTCCCAGCTACTCCAGAGGCTTAGATGGAAGGATCACCCGAGCACTGGAGGCGGGGTTGCAGTGAGTCAGCATTGCGCCACTGCACTCCAGCCTAGGTGACAGAGCGGGACTCCATCCTCCCCAAAAATAAAACACACTATTTCCTCATCTACAGGAGATACCTCCTGCCAAGGTCATGATGAAGAAATAATGTGACCAGCTGTGCACCCTCAGAAACTTGACAAAAGTGACCACGTCCTCAGCCAGTGTTACCATTGTACTGCAAGGCCTGCGGTAACATCTGTGATATTTCAATTAACTCAAAAAAATAAAAGAAAGATAAATTCATTTCACAAGTCAATGTATACTGTTCAGAAGAAAAGTGGTGCATGCGGAGGAGGTGGCCGAGGTCCCGGAGGACACATGGGTATAGGAGGTGGTGGCCGAGGTCCCGGAGGACACATGGGTATAGGAGGTGGTGGCTGAGGTCCCGGAGGACACATGGGTATAGGAGGTGGTGGCCGAGGTCCCGGAGGACACATGGGTATAGGAGGTGGTGGCCGAGGTCCCGGAGGACACATGGGTATAGGAGGTGGTGGCCGAGGTCCCGGAGGACACATGGGTATAGGAGGTGGTGGCCGAGGTCCCGGAGGACACATGGGTATAGGAGGTGGTGGCCGAGGTCCCGGAGGACACATGGGTATAGGAGGTGGCCGAGGTCCCAGAGGACACTGAGGTGACGGACTTGGTTGAGATCGCAGAGGCCAGCCAAGTAGAGGAGATGGCTGATATACTAGAGGAGCCCGGGGAGAAGTTGGCTGAAGTCCCGGAGGCCGTGAGTGGAGACTATTGAAGTAACCGAGGTGACTCATGTAGAGGTGGTAGTTGAGGGGCCAGAGGCCACCCAGTAGAGGAGGTGGCTGAGGCCAAACAGACTGCTGAGTGGAGGAGCAGGCTGAGGTCCCACAGGCCACAGAGCAGGAGAAAAGTCACTGAGATCCCAGAGGAGAGACACCTGTAGCAGGTAGATGAGGTCCCAGGGGACAGACACCTGTAGCAGGTAGATGAGGTCCCAGGGGACAGACACCTGTAGCAGGTAGATGAGGTCCCAGAGGAGAGACACCTGTAGCAGGTAGATGAGGTCCCTGGGGACAAGAAGCTGCAGTAGGTTGATGAGGCGTTGCAGGACAGACACCTGCAGGAGGGAAATGAGGTCCCAGAGGACGGAAACCCGCAGGAGGTGCATGAGGTCCCGGCACACAAATGCCGGCAGGAGGTGGATGAGGTCTGGGAGGAGAGACACCTGCAGGTGGAACATGAGGTCCTGGGGACAGACAGCGGCAGTAGGCTGAGGAAGTGCTGCAGGACAGACACCTGCAGGAGGAGGATGAGGTCCCAGAAAAGAGACAGCTTCAGGAGGTTGTTGAATTTCCAGGGGACACTCACATTCAGAAGGTGGTTGAGGTCCCAGTGGACACTGTAGTATAGGAGGTTGTTGAACTTCCAGGGGACACTCACGTTGAGGAGGTGGTTGACTCCCAGTGGACACTGTAGTATTGGAGGTTGTTGAACTTCCAGGGGAACACTCAAGGTCAGGAGGTGATTGCGGGTCCAGGGGACACTCGACTGGAGTATGTTGCTGAGGTCCCTTAGGAAACTCACGTGGCTGAGGTGTCTGACGTCTCAGGAAACCTTCAGCTGGAGAAGGTGTTTCAGGCTCCAGAGGTTGTTCCAGTGGAGGAGGTATCAGAGGTTCTAGAGAAGGTTCAGTTGCAGAGAGTGATTGAGGTCCCAGAGGACCGGGAGGTGGAGGAGGTGCCCGGCAGCCCATCAATGGTCTGGAAGGGCCAGCCATGAGGTAGGATAGGTTGGGCCATTCTGACAGAGGATGAGGCTCCCGTTCAGCCATGTTGACCTACAAGGCAGAGGAGGAAATGTTTGGAAATCTCTTAACATGAAAGAAAAAACACCAACATGCACCCAAGCTGCCCCTGATGCTTCAGATGACAGTCCCTTGCCCCTTCCCCTTCTTCGGGTTTCTAAATGACAGCATCAGTGCCGTATAGCATCTGCTCCATGGAGTCCTTCTGACAGCAGGGGAGTGAAAACAAGCCATGGGGACAAACTGTTGTCCCCCTGCCACTGTGTCTGTCTGCAAATGTAGGCAGGCTGGGGGCACGTCCCAGGGAAGACAGAGTCACTATGCAGTAATAGAGAAGCATGTTTCTGACACAGGGGTGACTATGTGGATCCACATTCTTACGTAATCGGCATTGGCAATTTTCGACAGTCTCTACGGAGACTGAGTTTTAAATAGACTGAGTATATATTTAAAACTCAGTCTCCGTAGAGACTGTCGAAAATTGCCAATGCCGATTATATTGCAAGTTGTCATGGCGGAGTATTGGAAAAGTTTTAAATTAGCCATAACCGTACCTCGGATAAACCTCATTGGCTACAATGCTACCGCTACACAAAGCTAGGTCACAGCTATTCTTATGAGAATCTTCTCCAGGCTTTTCATGTTCTATCTCTGATTCTCAGAACTCTGCAAGGTCAATGTGACCACCCTGCTCCAAATCTAAGAAAATGGAGGCTCCCAAAGGAAGGAGAATGTTCACCCAGGGTCACACAGCTTGCAAGAGGCGGAGTGGAAGTCGATTCCAGCTGTGCCTGCAGGACGCTCTCATCCCCCCATCTGCTTCCCTTCTTGACAAAGGCTCTTCTCCACTCTGGAGGTGCCACCTGTGGGCACAAAGATCTCTGGGGAGATCTGGATTCCTGAAGACCTGCAGGGGAATTGGGAGAGGGTTTTCTGACAGAACAATCCTACATACAGATGTTAGTTTGGCACAGCGATCATTTTAACTTCCAACATTTAAGTGCACTATGACATAAAAGATAATAATTTTTTCCACCAAATTCCATCGAAAAATGAGGTGGGAATTCTAAACAACAGACGTTTTAAAAATGTGTTTGATTGTAGGTGTACCAGTCCCATCATGTGCGATCAGAGGACTCAGCAGCTTTCAAAACCGTAGAGGCCAAGGAGAACCAGCTTCACTGAGCATCATTGAGGGTCGTCATTGGGAATTGTCCTTGTAGGTAATGAGTGACGTTCACTCTTCACTACCTCACAGCCAGGGCACATTTTCTATTACAAATGCGGAACCTCTTATACCTAGAATGTGAGATCTAGGGTGCCACTGGGTGGGAGTGGGAGCAACTCTGCACAACACAGATGGGACTATGATGAATTATGGCACTGACTTTGTCCAGGCGTATTCAAAGTGGCACACAGCACATACTAATTAATGTTGGATTAAGGAGTTTTGACTTTTTTTTCACTTCCAGGATTACAGCAGATATTCTGAATGCTAATCGCCTACCTTATAGAAGAAGAGAAATAAAATACATTTTTAAAAAGAAGAGAAATAAAATCACAGCTCAAAACAAAACCCTACATATTTTGGAAACAGGACCTCACAATATTTGGGGATGGATCAGTTGAATGGATCAGTCAGGATTCCCTGGGCCATGAGACCTCCAGCAGTGGAGCTCAGTGGCATCGCCTCGTGTTATTTCTGCAAACAGACCAGTGGAAGCCCTTCAGTCCTCGGCCCCTAAGCATTCACGGCTTCTGGCGGTGCCAACAAAGATGACCAGCTGGGAATGGAGAAGCCTGGAAGCTCATGGGGAAGATTTTGCTTTGAAAAATGCCAGACAGAAAAGGCACCCAGAACCTGAAGAGCAGAGGCCAAGCCAGGAGAGGGCGCTGTGGGAAAAGACTAAAGTGTCCTGTAATAGGCAGAGTGAAAAGGACTCCAGCATTTACCTTTATTTCATTTCTGATAAAACAGCACAAAGGTAAAAAACATATTTTTGACCAAAAGCGCTGTTGACATCCTATTAAACAAACGTGAACCTACTTAATTTTCATTCTGTAAATGGTAGATATTTTCATTATTGTTAGGGTAATAAATCATTTCCCTGATTTTTTTTTTGTAAAATTCAATATTCATAATAAAGTTCAGAACCATGAATTGTTCTAAATAATTTCTTCTTATTTATGGTTACAAGTGGACCTCTGTAAGAAGTTATGTATTCACACCGAGGCTAGTTATCCACAACAAAATGGCAAGGGAACGAATTCCCAGGGAAACAGCAATTATAATAAGCATCCAGGGAATTTCAGAAAAGCCAGGCCCTGGATGCAAACTTTCAGGCAGGACATGGATGACCTGAAATAATAACAGATGGAATAATGAGAAGCTCAATGACATTTACCATGTTTCGGTCACAAGGAATCATCCTTAGAAACCCTCAACCTCCTCCAAGAGGTAACCACACCCCTCATCTATCACCAGGGATCCCACTGCTTCAAGAAGGATTGGAAGTTAACAGTCTCATGGTTCTTGCATGGCTGGTAGTGGTTTGTTTTTTTTAAATTATTATTTATTTATTTTACATTTTTTAAATTTTATAAATAAAGATGGGGTTTCACCATGTTGGTCAGGCTGCTCTTGAACTCCCGACCTCAGATGATCCGCCCACCTTGGCCTCCAAAGTGCTTGGATTACAGGCGTGAGCCACTACACCCGGCATTGTGAATGTGGGGTGTCTTTTCTCTAATGCAAATATGTCCAATCTTTTGGCTTCCCTAGGCTATCTTAAAAGAAGGAGAATTATCTTGAACCACACATAAAATACATTAACACTAAAAATAGCTGATGAGCTTAAAAAAATTACAAAACAAAATCATAATGTTTTGAGAAAGTTTACAAATTTATGTTGGGCCACATTCTAAGCTGTCCTGGGTTGGACAAGCTAGGTGTAAAGTAATTATCGTTTTTTTAAGGTTACTACTTTTTAAATTGACATATAACATTGGAAGTATTTGTTACGTGACCCATGATAAAAAGAATCCCTGTGAATCACTCACATTTCTTTCTTGGATTACAGGAATCTCTGCCATTTAAAGATCAGCATAAGTTGCCAGGTGTGGTGGCTCATGCCTGTAATCCTAGCACTTTGGGAAGCCAAGGTGGGTGAATAACAAGGTCAGGAGATCAAGACCATCCTGGCCAACATGGTGAAACCCTGGTTTCTACTTAAAATACACAAATTAGCTGGGTGTGGTAACACATGCCTGTAGCCTCATCTACTCAGGCGGCTGAGGCGGGAGAATCACCGGAACCAGAGAATCGGAGGTTGCAGTGAGCTGAGATGGCACCACTGCACTCCAGCCTGGTGACAGAGCAAGACTCCATCTCAAAAAAACCAAACAAACAAAAAAACAGCATTAGTCAAAAAACTATAATAAAAAGATGACTTCATTCAGAAATACCCAAGTGGGATCATGAACATGGCATGAATAGCTAAGATTCTTGATATTAATTCCATTAGACTCATGTGAATGAAGACAAAGACTTCCCCTGAGTAAGTTCAGATGGCTTCTGAGAACATTGCTACATAGATTCCTCAGGATTGAACTGTATTTTCTTGAAAATTTCTTATGTGGCTGGGCGTGGTGGCTCACGCCTGTAATCCCAGCACTTTGGGAGGCCGAGGCGGGTGGATCACGAGGTCAAGAGATGGAGACCATCCTGGTCAACATGGTGAAACCCCGTCTCTACTAAAAATACAAAAACTTAGCAAGGCATGGTGGCGCGCGCCTGTAATCCCAGCTACTCAGGAGGCTGAGGCAGGAGAATTGCCTGAACCCAGGAGGCGGAGGTTGCAGTGAGCCGAGATCGTGCCATTGCACTCCAGCCTGGGTAACAAGAGCGAAACTCCGTCTCAAAAAAAAGAAAAAAAAATCTTAATTTTAAGTGTTTCTTTCAAGATGGTAATTAAACAGAGATAGGTATTCAACAGGGTGGACTGAGCATATACAGAGTCCAAAGTGGAAAGGACTGAGTTAGTGATCCGTGCAACAATGGGAATGATTTCAGAAACGTTGTTAAGCAGAATCAGAAAGACACCAAAGAGTACCTAGGGCATGGCATGCATCTATAGACGTCAAATTCCAGAAGAAGCAAAATCAACCTCTGATGAGAAAGGGATTGGTTGGGAAGAGGGAGAGTTCACTTTCTGGGGTGACGTAATATTGCAGATTTTGAAAGGGAGTTCCGATATGCCGGTGTGTGTACTTCTCCAAGTTAGCAATGTTACGTTTAAGAATTGTATAGTTTTGGGCAGGGCGCGGTGGCTCACGCCTGTAATCCCAGCACTTCGGGAGACCGACGCAGGTGGATCACGAGGTCAAGAAATCAAGACCATCCTGGTCAACATGGTGAAACCCCATCTCTACTAAAAATACAAAAAATTAGCTGGGCATGGTGGCGCGTGCCTGTAATCCCAGCTACTCAGGAGGCTGAGGCAGGAGAATTGCCCGAACCCAGGAGGCGGAGGTTGCCTTGAGCCGAGATCGCGCCATTGCACTCCAGCCTGGGCAACAAGAGCGAAACTCGGTCTCAAAAAAAAAAAAAAAAAAAAAAGAATTGTATAGTTTGTTCTGTGTAATTCTTCCTGAGAAGAAATTTTTTTTTTTTTAATTTTTTATTGGATTATAGGTTTTGGGGTACATGAGCAGAGCATGCAAGACAGTTGCGTAGGTACACACATGGCAGTGTGCTTTCTTTTCTTCTCCCCTTCACCCACATTTGGCATTTCTCCCCAGGCTATCCCTCCCCACCTCCCCCTCCCACTGGCCCTCCCCTTTTCCCCCCAATAGACCCCAGTGTTTAGTACTCCCCTTTCTGTGTCCATGTGTTCTCATTTTTCATCACCCGCCTATGAGTGAGAATATGCGGTGTTTCATTTTCTGTTCTTGTGTCAGTTTGCTGAGGATGACGTTCTCCAGATTCATCCATGTCCCTACAAACGACACAAACTCATCATTTCTGATTGCTGCATAATATTCCATGGTGTATATGTGCCACATTTTTCCAATCCAGTCTATTATCAATGGGCATTTGGGTTGATTCCAGGTCTTTGCTATTGTAAACAGTGCTGCAATGAACATTCGTGTACATGTGTCCTTATAGTAGAACGATTTATAGTCTTTTGGATATATACCCAGTAATGGGATTGCTGGGTCAAATGGAATTTCTATTTCTAAGGCCTTGAGGAATCGCCACACCGTCTTCCACAATGGTTGAACTAATTTACACTCCCACCAACAGTGTAAAAGTGTTCCTTTTTCTCCACATCCTCTCCAGCATCTGTTGTCTCCAGATTTTTTAATGATCGCCATTCTAACTGGCGTGAGATGGTATCCCAATGTGGTTTTGATTTGCATCTCTCTGATGACCAGTGACGATGAGCATTTTTTCATATGATTGTTGGCCTCATATATGTCTTCTTTCGTAAAGTATCTGTTCATATCCTTTGCCCACTTTTGAATGGGCTTGTTTGTTTTTTTCCTGTAAATCTGTTTGAGTTCTTTGTAAATTCTGGATATCAGCCCTTTGTCAGATGGGTAGACTGCGAAAATTGGTGCTCTACACATTCAGAGAAACTTCTCTAGTAACACACTATAGAAATGATCCCTGAAAGTATAGTCTTGAGAAGAAATTTTTATAAAGAAATATTGAATTCCAGTTAATGTTAGCTTTGCTAAACTATTCAGCAGGAAGTATGCTGATGGTAATACATGTAAAATAATAGGGGCTGAGGAATGGACAGAGGGATGGAAAGATGGGTAGATACGTGTTGTCATGTTCATGAAAATGTGAACAAATCAGTGCTGCATCTATAAACATATTGACAATTGAAGTTGATGGTCATTGCCAAAATCACTTGTGTCATGTCAGCGGTTTTCTCCCTTATTTATGTTCTATATGTTTGAGCAATTTCAACACAATATCAATCAGACGTTTTTTCTGCCATTTGGTCTCGGTGTTGCAAAATGCAAGTACACACAGGGAAAGCTTGCAGAGGTGCTGCTTTCTGGGTTTTCATTCTCAGGACAAAGACCAAATGGGAAAAACAAGCCTTCTAGCTCTTTCCAAGGGAGAGGATAGACACACTGCCATATATATGTCCATACAAAGGAATGTCACTCAGCAGTAAAACAGAGAGCAAAGTCTTAACATTTAAAACAATGTGAATCCATGTGAACATGATTCTGCTGACTTCGCAGAATTCAGAACAGCAAGAATACCTCTCCTGTGTGACACCATGACAGGAAATGGCAGTGCAGGGGGAGGACAGTAGGATGGAGGGAGAAGGACAGGTGGATTCAAAAGGAGGAGGAGGAAACTTTGAAGGGGAAGAATGTGTTTAGTATCTCGAATCTGGAATGTGGCGATGCTTTGACTGCTGTATCCATATGTAAAAGTCAGCAAATTGGATTCTTTACAAAGAGGCTGTTTACACAGGACTTCACACCACTTAAACAGCAGCAAGGAAATTTGAGACTCGAACTGTTAGAAATTATAATTCAATTTAAAATGCAGATAAGAACTGTTAGAAATTATAATTCAATTTAAAATGCAGATAAGAAAATACAAACTTACACTGGTTGGGAAGCCAAGGCCTTCTTTTAAATATTAGAAATTTTTGTTACATTCTTTGAAATAGATCCAAAAATATGCCAACACTGTGTGGAAAAATGAGAAAAATATAAGAAAAAAGTCTTAAAGTTATAGATGAAAATACTACCTGAATATATGTTTATCTATACACAAAACTGAGAGTGGACAGCTGCTACAATAAGAACACCTAGGTTATATTCCAACAAAAATAATCACAGATTGTTATTTAGTCCGTTTCTAGAAATAACTTTTGAAAATCAATGTTCACTACTGCTGAAATGGGGCACTTCATGTCAGATTTTCAAAGTCCAGAAAGATTTGCATGACATAGTCTTCCTGGAATTATGATTAAAACTGTAAGAATTGAGGTCAGTTAAAAACACAAAACTAAGTAACCACTAGCAAGAGTTCACCTTCGTATTTTGGAGCATTGTGCATAAAGCACTCAGGAGCAAGCTTGGAAATCCATATGGAAAGCAATATGAACTTTCTGGAATGTAGGCCACCATTACACTAGGCACACATAGTACTTACAAACACTGGATTTACAAGTATTGGAGGACAAAATAAACTCAAAATGCAATTCAGACCAATCCACATACCAAGACAGTTTTGTGCAAATGAAATCTCTCTAGAAAGCAGCCTCTGAGCTCTGTGGCACTTTTGTCTTCAGCCTCACAGTGGAGGTGACTGCAGCCTGGGATCCTGTGAGGGACTCGCTGTCCCTAAGGCGCCTCCCTCTGACAGGAAGCAGGAGCTCTGGGCACAGTGGTGAAAGATGTGGATCAAACGCACAAAAGCACAAAGGCCACCTTGTCACTGACCAGGAAAACATCCCCGTCCTGGGCACTGTTGTCACATCTGACAATTGTCTGGATGCAGGTTATCAGCAGTGGGCTCCTACCCAGATTAGGTCCCATGGGGCCAGGGAAAGCTTAGGTTCTGATAATTGATGGCCATGAGCAAGGGTGGAGGTGGAAAATGCAATGAGAAAAATGTATCCAAGTCTTAAAAGGTCAGGTAGGGAATGAGAGTTTAATTGATCTATAAAAATGCAGCCAGGTAAAGGGAAATAAATTCCAACAAAGACGATCAAGACATTTCCTCCTTCATAGACTCAAAAGAATCAAGAGGCTCTTCTTTGATTGGAGGCATTCCTGTGGGGCAATTCTGCCTCCATGCAGTGGTTGCTCCCCATCACTAGACTGTCCAGATCCCTCTCTGAGAATCTGTGCATGCCACTTAGAACAAATACTCTCGTCTCTAGAAGGTGCCCTCTCCTGAGTGTAGTGGAGAGGTATTATAATGTGAGGGTAAAACCATTCCAAATAGAAACCTGGATTTCTTTACATTTGGACAATCAAAAGGGCTTTGGGTAAATCAATGATCTTCACAAGACACATTTGACAGAACAAAGGACAATACAGTCCTTGCTCACACCCTGGTCATGTCACTCCTGGTGACTCCCGCCTTGCAAACACCCCAGCAGGTCGAAACCCTTTTCTGTCCCATCTGACGGGCTTCTGGGGCTCCCATCACTCTGATTGGACGCAGACTCCCTGGAGGCAGGTCCCAAGCGCAGAAGACACGGATGGCTCAGAAGTTCCTAGAAAGTCATCAAACCAGATGACACAGAACCCAAAAGGCATTTCACTTTGTTTTGTTCGAGTCAGGGTCTCACTCTGTCGCTGAGGCTGGAGTGCAGTGGGGCAATCTCGGCTGACTGCCACCTCCACCTCCTGGGCCCCAACGATCCTCCCACCTCAGCCTCTCCGGTAGCTGGGACTACAGGCCCACGCTGCCAGATCTCACTCATTTTTTTTTATTTTTATTTTTCTGTAGAGATAGGATTTCACTCTGTCCCAGGCTGGTCTAGAATTCCTGGACTCAAGTGATCTGCCCACCTCGGCCCCCGAAAGTGCTGGATGATAGGTGCGAGCTGTGTCATTTCAGCCCGTGACACATCCCAACGAAAAGGAAGGAACCCCGCGGGTGCAGTGTCTACTCACCTGGGTGGACTGATGGCTGGGAAACCCCAATACGAGGAGCCAAAAGAGCAGCCACCGCAGTCGCATGTCTTGGTCCTCTCAGGTCACCATGAGGCTGCCAGGACAGAGGTGGGGGTGGCTTAGGGCTGTGGGAGGGAAGGGGAAAAGGATGGGGATAGGGGAGAGAAGGGGAAAAGGATGGGGATGCGGGAGAGGGAGGGAGGGGAGAGGGCAAGGTAAAGGGGAGCGGAGGAAGAGAGGGGAGGAGGTGGGGTAAGGGGTGGGAAGGGGGGCTGTTGGGCACCTGGAGCAGGAGGAGGAGGGGAAAGGGGTCTGGGAAAGGATGGGGTTCAAACGAAGTCCTCAAGGGTAGGTGGGAGGTTCAGCTACAGGTCAGTGTGAAAGAGCAGCGAAGCAGCAGGACGCGTGGGTTGAGGCAGCGGGAGGCTCAGGAGCAGGGCTCTGGTGTCCACCAAAGCTGCTCCTGTCTGGGCACTGCCTTAGCAACCCTGGGGCTTTGTACTCCCCCTCCACCAATCCCTGGCCCCGGTGGCTGGTGCCTCACAATGGACATTCCACGGTGCCCATATTCTGCCAACGCCCCTCCCCTACCTGGGCGGGGCAACATGGGGGCCTCATCTTTACACAATTTCACAAGTTAGCCAGGCATGGTGGCCCGCAGCCCTGCTCCCAGCTACTCAAAAGGCTGAGGTGGGAGGATTGTGTCAGCCTCACAAAGCAAGACCCTGCTTTAAAGAAAAGAAATTAAGTAAGAACAAATAAAAAGAAATTCTTTATTCACAAATTGGTAGAATTAATATTGTAAAAATGTCTATCTTACATAAAGTGATCTACATATTTAATGCATCCATACCAAACCACCAGTGACATTCTCCACATTCAAAAGGACTATCCCAATTCATTCTGTTCCCACAAAAAAAACCCTCTATAGTCAAAATAATTTAAAAGGCTGAAAACTCCCCAATTTTTAGTGTGATAAAAACACTACTAACCAAGAACACTTGACCTTGAATAATTTTACTTCAAAAAAAAAAAGGAAAAATAAAGACTTTCCAAAATGAATAAATGCATGAGGATGGTCACCATCACTAGTACCGTCCTACAGGAAGTGGTAAAGTTTGCGTAGGCATGGCGGCACATGCCCATAATACCAGCTTTGGTTAGCCAAGGCAAGAGGATTGCTTGAGGTCAGGAGTTAGGAATTAGCCTAGGCAATATAGCCAGACCCCATCCCTACATAATACAGAAACAATACTTAAAATAATCCATTATGTTGAAAAACAATGAGGCTAGACGCATTTAAAACCACGTGAAAATAGAAAAGTCTCTGTTAAAGAAAAATCCGTAAGTGGCTATATAATTATTTACCATCATAGTCATGGTGTAAAAAACTTACTGTGGTTATTATATCTGACCAAAAATAAATCTGAATAAATCTTTGCTACCAGAAGCAAAATATATAATTATTTGTTACATTAATAGCGTGTGAAGAGTTACAGCTTTTGTATTCCATGAAGTTGTGAGATTAAAACTTTCTGATTTCAAAACACATAAAAAGCTACAAAAACAAAAGCTGTGTGGTACTGACACAAAGACAGACCAGCAAATGATGAAACAGAACAGAGCCAGAAATCAGTCCTTCTGGATAAAATCAAATCACCTTCCGCAAGGTTTCCATGACCACACGATGGAGAAAAGAGTCCTTTCAACAAGTGACGTTAAAAACTAGACATCTACATGGAAAAATGAAGCAATATCCTTTCCTTGCACTATATACAAAAACATTTTAAATGAAATACTTAAACATACAAATAGAATCAAACTCTTAAAAGAAAATGCAGGAAAAAAATACAGGAGATGAAATGCATAAGCAACAAAAAAAAGAACAGAAAAACTGAACTACATCGAATTTTAAACTTTCTGCAAATCAAAGAAAACCATGAGCAAAGTGAAAATGCCACCTAAGAAATGGGTAAAAATACTCACAAATTGCAAACTTGCTAGGAGTTAATCTTCAGAGTATATAAGTGACTCTTACAACTCAACAACAAAAATCAAATAATTTGTCTTAAAAATAGATGGACTCACTGAAAATCTCTGCAAAAATGATATACAAACAGCCAACAAGCACTTGAATGAATGCCCAAATGACTAATTTGTAGAGAAATGTAAAAAGAATCCCAATGAAGATATTTCCTCACACATGTTAGAGTGGCCACTATTTAAAAAAATCCAAATCTGTCAAGGATGTGAAGACATTGAAAACCACGTGAACTGCTGGTGGGAAACAGAGGATGCAGCCACGATGAAAGGCAGCATAGGCCGGGCGTGCGGGCTCACACCTGGAATCCCAGCACTTTGGGAGACTGAGGCGGTGGATCACTTGAGCCCAGGAATTTGAGACCACCTTGGGCAACATGATAAAATGTCTCTGTTAAAAATACAAATGTTATCTGGGTGTGGTAGTGTGCACCTATAGTCCCAGGTACTCGGGAGGCTGAAGTGGAAGGATCACGTGTGCTCAGGAAGCAGAGGCTGCAGTGAGCTGAGATGGTGCCACTGCACTCCAGCCTCTGTGATAGAGTGAGACTCTGTCTCAAAAAACAAACCAAAAAAACATAGCATAAATGTTCCTGAAATAATAAATGGAATTATATGATTCAACAATCCCACTTCCGGATCTATATCAAAAGTATACAATGCAACTCTGGATGTGGAGGAGATATTTCCACACCCATGTTTATTACTACTCGGAAAAGTCAAATGGGGGAAGCCTCAAGTGATGAATACACACAAAAAAACGTGGGATAAACATACAAGGGATATTATTCACCCATAAAAAAGAAAATCTTGTCACATTTTAGGATAAACTTTGAGAGTATCATGTTAACTGAAATAAGCCAGTAGGAAAGTGACAGATAGTGTATGATAAACACCATTTATATGAGATATCTTAAGTAGTCCAACTCATAGAAACAGAAAGGAGAACGGTATTTATCAAGGCTGGAGAGAGGGTACAATGGACAGTTGTTATAACTGGTATTGAGTTGTTGTAATGGGTATTGAGCTTTACTTTTGCAAGACCTAAAAATTCAAGAGGTCTTTTGCACAACAATGCGAATATGCTTAACACTACTGAATTGTGCACCTAAAAGATTTAAGTTTATACCTGTTATATTTGTTTTTAAACAGAATTGAATTTTTTAGAAAAGATAGTTAAAAGAGATACATAATTATAAAACTTTTCAAAAATCACCTTCAAATCAGAAAATTGTTTCTCTCAGACAAAGAAAATATAGATTCATAATTAAACACATGATGCAAATAGACTATTTCCATGACTACTAACCTGGACAGAATAAAACAACCACTGAAAATCAGCCGAGAAAAAGATACACCAGATTAGCCATAACTAGTCGGGGTCACATCTGTAGAAACAAATGCACACATATATAATTTAATTGTGATAGATACTCAACTGGTTCCTATTTTAATTAAGCCCCACTTTGATTTCAAGTGTACATACGAAGTTGCAAACTGTTACCTAAAATTATAATTAAAAACTTAAAAACAAAACAATCGGACAAATAAAACACACTAAAAAAAAGTAATATGGAGCTACAAAACCCTAAGAGATGTGTCAGTCAGAAAATCTGCTGGGAAACATTGATGTACCATTAAAAAAGAGTTTGCTTAAGTAACTACAATATTCAACTGTGACTGTGCAATCATAAAAAGCAGGTATTTTGAATCATTGGCATGCAGTGTACAGTAGTAAAATTTCAGAAAAAACACACTGCCATCATTAATAAAGGACTCTACTGAAAACATTTTAATGACTAAGAAGGAGACACAAAAGATAATTTTTATTGTGTGTTTACTATACTGATGCTATTCTTATACAAAATAAGAATGCTGCCATCCAACTTCCAGAAGCCCGGCATAGCCTTACATTTCTAAATCAAGAGAAGAATATAAATGATGTAAGATACGGTGAGGGTCACTGATACATAAAATAAACATTTCTGAATAAATCATATTACCATTTATATACGGATTGAAGAAGCTGGATGAAATCCTATGATTTCTTTTTGCCTGCAGTAATTTAATAAATATGGAGTACTTACTAAATAATTTAATTTAGACAGAACATGTTAATTCTAGCATATTGTGCTGACAACTAGAATTTAAAATTACAGATATGCTTGAAATGGAACAAAATAGAAAGAGAAAATGTATAGGAGAATGACATAGAAAGATGGTGAAATAGGTGAACCCAGGCTTCTATATCCCCACGGCCACAAAAATGTGTCAGCCTTCCGTGTACAGAAATGCCTTTCCAAGAGAACCAGGCACCACAGCTCATGCCTATAATCCCAACTACTCAGGACCTTGGGGTGAGAGGCTCACTTCAGGCCAGAAGTCCAGAACCAGACTGGGTGAAATGAGAGAGACCTCATTTAAAAAAAAAAAAAATGCCTCTCAGAGACTTTTGCAATCCAGGGAGGTAAAATTCTGCTAAAGATCAAGACTATAGATCCATTAAAAATTATCGAATTTCCAGTGGTCTTTTTCACAGTAATAGGAAATACAATTCTAAAATGTATATGGAATTACAATAGATTTGGTATAGCCAAAGCAATCTGTAGGAAAAAGAACGAGGCAAGAGGCATAATACTTTCTGATTTCAAACCACAGTTTAAGACTGTCGCAAACTGTTCTTAGAGTAGTAGAACAAGATGGCACATGAACAGAGAAGAAACAAACACAGACACCTGTGGAACAGAATGGGGAGCCTACAATGAAACTCCCGCATGTCAACTTAACTCGTCTTTCACAAGAGCGTCCAGAACATACAATGCAGGCAGTATAGTCTCTTCAACGATTGGTTGTGGGGAAACAGGATACCCGCAATCAAAATAATGAAACAGACAATTTTCTTACACCATACTCAAAAATGAACTTGAAATAAAGCCTTAAATGTAAAACATGCATCCTTAAAAACTCTAAGAGAAAATCTCTTTGATATTGGTCTTGGCAATCATTTTTTAGATATGACACCAAAAGTACAGCAGCAAAAGTAAATACAAACAAGCTGGAGTGCATTAAGCTAAAAAGCTTCTGCACACCAAAGACGATTCCAATCAAACTTTTGGATATTAGAATGGCTAATATAAAAAATATGTAGGCCAGGCGCAGTGGCTCAAGCCTGTAATCCCAGCAATTTGGGAGGCCGACTCTGGTGGATCACGAGGTCAAGAGATCGAGACTATCCTGGTCAACATGGTGAAACCCCGTCTCTACTAAAAGTACAAAATATTAGCTGGGCATGGTGGCGCGTGCCTGTAATCCCAGCTACTCAGGAGGCTGTGAATATAACTGAAGGAAATAAAAGCAGCATCTTGAAGAAGCATCTGCTCCCTCAGGTTCACTGCAACAATATTCACAATTGTCAAGATATAAAGACAAGCTAAATGCTTGTGGCTGCT